AAACTTGTTAATGTATAAAACATGTTGCACATGTAACAAAAGTTTTGTATAATATGCTAACCACATATTCATAAAAGGCATGTTGCGAATACAAAACTTACACTATAACAATGTTGCTGGCCGTTGTTATATGTTTGTATTGCATGTCTATATATAAGGTGTTCAATACCATATTTTCTTAGTACGCAATAAACGAGAGATTATGACAGAATTTAGTTCCCATTTGTTTTTCTGCTTTACTGTCAAGGCTGGTCAAAATAATAATCTCAGTATATCATAGACCATTATGTGCTCGGACTACGTATAGTATGTTGCTAAAATATGTTTTTATTTTGCCTTTTTTTATAAATTGAAATAATTTAATGCTATATTCAGCAAATTATGTGTCGACATACGAGTATACTGGGTGATTTTAGCCGTCCGATATAATAAGTGCACGGAATTGAAGCATACGGCACTGATATTTTACAAATTTTATTTTACATTAACATATAATAACGTCTACCGACGCAGTTAGGCGGAATAAATTTTGACAATCGCGTTAATTTTATGAGCTATTAAAAATTACTGATGGATTTCCACCTTTAGAGATTCATAACGTCTGGCACTTAAGCTGACGTCTATCGAACTTGCGAAAATTCAGTTGCGATAATGAAAAGGTTATTTAAGCATTTATTATTATTTTTAGAAGGGCACAAGGTGAATCCTGAATGAAGCTTTAGCTTTACCATCTCACAACGTTACATCTCATCTTCCATTCAACACCAGACGTGGTGCCTGTATAAATTCCCTGCCTATAAGAGGTGTCCCCCATAGATTAGCTCGATGACTATAGCTGTCTCGCATGGCATGCGACTATCGCATATTTTATAGTTTTCAGTTGTTATTGCTGTTGCCCATCTTCTTTTTTTAGTTTTTTGTTGTCACCTATTACACTACCCTCGGGACGTTGGGGGGTAGTGAATATTATTACACCACCACTACACGGCTGTGGTGTACACGTGCAATGGAAAAGACACTATGCTCATCAAGCATACCCAATGCTTTGAGTACTGGGCAATTTTTTTAAGATATGTAATCGAATTGGCACATTAAAAAAAATTTCGACGAGAGTACTTAAGTCATATACTAAGAAAGTCTGTTAAATAATAAGAAGGGTAATATGAATTTACCTATTTATTGTTATATTTATGGTTTTATAGAGAATGTACTCTTGAAAAAGTAACGGTTGAATAATTTCCATATCATATTGATAATTGTAAGCGTGCTCACTATGCATAATCTAATGCAAATTGTCATTTCTTGTGGTAAGGGGCTTACCCCTCTATCCTTAGAAAGTTAGGGCAGTACAGAGCATTTACAATCGGGGGACCGTATCCACGAGAGGTACCACAAGGCTCTACACAGGTTTTTCGCAGACACACTTCATTATCTACGAGTCGGTGATGTCTTTGGAGAAACAGAGGGTTTTGTCTGTGCGATACAGTTTCAGGTTATTAAGATCAAAAACTACTGCAAATCATCCTAAGAGATGGCACCGTCTACATCTGTCAAGTTTGGCGCCATACCCGTGAGTCATTTAGGCATGTCATATCCGGTTGTTTGGCTCTTTCTTATTCTGAGTAATTACACAGACACAACTATAGCCAGGCTTCTGCATCAGGAGGACGTTCTGAAATACGTTTATTTATTTATTTGTGTATTTATTGGGTCTACCAGCGATTTTACAATACATACGTTGCATACATTTCTTAAAGTATAATTACTATATTCCCTCGTCTGTCCAAACGCCATATTCTGGCTTGAGACGTCTCAAATAATATGTGCCTCTGTCAAATGCCATAATATGGCGTCGAGTGATAGCAAACTATTTGTAACATATATATGGTATACATAACATACATATATAACATATATATATATATATATATATATATATATATATATATATATCTGTTATGCATAATCTGATAGATTATTTAATAACGTTTCCATTGACATATGACTATAATATACTTGCTTAGTATATATATATATATATATATATATATATATATATATATATATATATATATATACACATATATATATACAACATGTAACATAATTAACGCACTTTGAGAAAGTAGTTTGTTCAGAATCGTTTACTGAATCGATTCCTATCATTTTTAATATAGGTAATTTTTTATCCCAAAAATAATAAAAACTACGTAAATTACAGTCACACTAAATCTGTACAGTCAAAACAAACTGAAATGGACCGTAACTTAAGGCAATAAGACTTTTAAGAGTGCAGTTTTATTTGTATTATTACTAATTCTGTCATTCAATAAAAATAAAGAAAAATGAACTTTATTTCAAGCACGTTAAAGTCTCTAAGTATATATATATATACTTAGTAAACTTGTTATATACTTACTCAGTACTTCGGAAAGTGCTCGACAGATGCGCCATATTGGCCAAATTGACCCCGACATTCGAGTGGTTATTACTTGCACAGAGTATGTAAAATCATTTAAAGCTAAACACTACATGCTATTTTGCTAGTATTAGTGTATAAATCTGAAATAAGTTAATAACAGAAAAAGAAAAACAACAAAAAAAACACAGTAGTAATTTTGGTAAAGGCCTGTAAAACCTTATCAATTTAAACAACAAAAGAGATTTAATCAAACTAATAATTAGTCTTTCAATTAAAATTAAAACTTAATTTAACAACTATCATAATCTAGCCCAACTAAATATATATTATTACAATTTAAAAGAAAAAATATACGTAATAATTAATATGAGAAAAAAATTTCAGTCAGGATGACTAGCTGACTAGGCTGCTGATAATTAATTTACGAAAGGTGTTAGGCGAATTAATATTGATGTCAATTAACTGACTGAAATTATTATATATTTTACATAAACGAGGGATTGTGGAGTTGGCGCCGAAGACCGCCTTGGTGCGTGGAGGCATGACTGGAGTAATAGCAGTACGCGGATATCTGCGTGGTACTCGAAAATTAATTTTACTTAGTAAACTGGGGCAGTCTAACCTATTACTTAGTAATTTGTATAAAAACACTAAATCTAACAAATCTCTTCTTTGGTCAAGAGTCATGATATAAGTATTCTAGCCTTTTTTTATAGGACACCACCGTTTTGTTAATCTTCACTGAGTATGATAGATGCCACATGAATCTTTTCTGAACACACTCCAGTCTTAAGTAGTGCGGAGAATAATGTGGACGCTATACAACGCTACAGTGACTGCTATACTCTAAGTGACTGCGGACAAGGCTGTTGTAAAGACAGACTTTTGTTTTAGCTTCTTTAAAAGTTCGACCTTGTCACATAATAAAACCTAATAATTTAGAAGCTTTCTTTATTACACTTTCTATGTGGTAAAGATAAGTCAATTTTTTATCAAGTATAACACCCAAGTCTTTCACGAGCTCAACTCCCTTAAGACTATTACCGTAAAATTTATACGTCGTTGGGGTAATATTATTTTTTCTATTAAATTTAATATAGTTATAATTTAATATAGTTTCATGCCATTAGATATACACCAATTGCTTAGTTTATCTAGATCGTTCTGTAATAAAATCGAATTAATTGGTGAACAAATTGTTCTCGTTACTTCAAATCATCGGCATATAAGTATGGTGTGGAGTTTTCAAAACAAGAAACAATGTCGTTTACAAATATAGTACCCGGTTGACCGAGCTTTGCTCGGTATTTTTCGCTCGGTTTTTTTTTAATTCGTCTGTTTTGTAAATTATATTTAGAAACAAATTACATACTGATGAAATACGAAAAATATTTTTTGATCTTAGCGACATAATAGAAAAAACTGAACTGGTTATTTGAATAAAAAATCATGAGTGCAATTAGTTTAATTTAAATTTTCGTGTTTTTAAAAACTACTAAAAAAAGGGCTCGAAAAAATAGATTTTCTCAAAAAAAGAAAGGAACTTAAAAAAAAATTAAAAAAAAGCCTGTCGGTCGGTCAGGGCTCGAACCATGGTATTACGATTTTGTGACCGCCCAATATACCAATTAAGCTATTTGTAATCATTAATAAACTGTCAAAATTTACCTTCTTATTCTAACGATATTGTAGCAGTTTTTCATTGCCTAAAAACACTGACAAAAAGACATTTTATAAAAATAAATTCTAGCTAGATCGATTTATTGCCCCCGAAACTCCCTGCACACAAAATTTTATGAAAATCGTTGGAGCCGTTTCCGAGATTCCGATTATATATATATATATACAAGAATTGCTCGTTTAAAAGTATAGGATTAAACGAAATTAGGCCAAGATGCGAGCCCTGAGGTATACCTGACGTTACCAGATTGGTTGAAGAGCTAAACCCATTAACGACTACATAAAAAGAAGACCGTTCTTGTGATGTGTAAGTATTATGAAAGCCATTTTAGCACCGGGCCTGAAAACCCATAATACGATAATTTTTCAATAAGTATTCCATGTGGAACTTTGTCAAATGCCTTTTTAAAATCCGTATATATGGTATCCACCTGCTTCTGCGAGTCAATAGCTTCTGATAATAAGGAAGTGAAACTAACTAAATTAGTGGTGGTAGACCTACCTGGCAAAAATTCATGTTGATGCTCAGAAACGAAACGTTTGAAATGCATTTGAATTATTGGAGAAACTAAAGATTGAGAGAATTGATATGGACCTATAGTTGCGTATATCTTTCTCATCATCACTCTTGTATATTGGAACTACTTTTGCTTTTTTTCCTTAAAGCTGGAAAAGTACCCAAACACAGCGAGGGTTTAAAGATAAGATATAAAGGCAAAGAGACGCTTTTATAAATACCTGGTAAATTGTCCGGTCCTGCACCTTTGCTAATATCGAGACCCTTCAGCTATTTGAATATTTCATTCTAATTTATTTCTATACCTGCTAGATTTTCACTAAAGCCTAAATAGAGGATTTTTCGTAAATGAGATGACGGATCTAAACGACAGGAACAATTTCAGTCATCATATACCGAAGCAAAATAACTAGAGAACATATTGCATATTTCAACTTCGCTAGTAGAAGTTTTAACTCCGTTATTCATAGCAGCTGGATACGAGTTAGAATTATTGCGTTTACTCTTTAGGAACGTCCAAAATGCTTTCGGATTCTTCTGAATTTGCTTTTCCAGGTTTTCGTTATAATTATTGTAGGCATCACGCGTAATTCTATTAGAACGATTACCAAGCACTCTTAGTTCTATTTCATCCATTGGATTATTATATTTTTTAAATCGTTTTAGCATTTTGTGCTTTTCTTTAATTCTTTTTGCAACATTGTAATTGATCCATGAAGGGTATCTATTACTCTTAGCTTTTTTAAGGGAACATAATCTGTGATAGCAATTTGTATACTCTAATAGTCTAAGTAGAATAGTCTAAACAATTCATCTATATCATCCAGGTCCAATAATGTATGCCAGTCGATTCCCTTCAAGTACTCATTTATAGAATTATAATCGGCTTTATAAAAATTGTATCGCTCGTGTGAAGTATTAATCATAAGTATATTTTGTCTCACATTAGGTATGTTTATTTCAAGGGGAGGATGCATTGGGTCAATATTACTGATTGGATTATAAGAGTAACTAACGGAACATACAGGTAAGTCTACGAGTACAAATCTAGTGTCTTCTGCCTATTATTAAGAATAGAGTTACATTGGCGCAAGCCATTTTCCGTTATGAAATCCAATAAGCTCTGTGCTGCTGGGGGAAAGTTACAGTTAGCAGGGTTTGAGGATACATTTCAGGTAATACAGCTAAGATTAAAGTCGCCAATTATGCATGTTAACATATTATGTTGCTCCGAAATTCTATTACAATTATTTAAAAAGATATCCAATATGTTTTTATTTACTGGAGGTGGAATATATATACAACAAAAAGCTATATGTTAAAGTGAGGCACATCTACTACCACCCACAAATCTTCACAATCGCTTTCCCATAGACTAATCCTATTTGAAATTATGTTTTTCTTGACAGCAATTAGAACGCCCCCACCGTCAGACTTAGTAGTAAGTTTTGCAGTCTCTCTGTCTCTTCGATACACGTTATAACGTAATAGTTCACCACTTGAGATTGAGCTATTTAACCAGGTTTCCGTCAAAATAATAATGTCATAATTATTAATAATTATGTTACGGTAAACATCTTGGGTTTTGGTTCTAAGTCCGCGAACATTTTGGTATAACATATTAATCGACGCGCCTTTTAAGGATTATGACACCATGGCATGACCTCAACCTTACATTTTAACTTAAGTTATTAAGAAAGTCCGTTCTCGTGGATAGGAAACTAGCTCATTACCACTTTCTGGATCCAATCTCGAAAATAACTTAGCCAGGTTCTACAGGGATCGGACTATCATCACAAACCGGACTTTTATTGCGAGTAAGGTCGATATTGTGTTGATGAACCGAGCACAGCCAAGGATATTTTTGGTCGACATCACTATTTTGTATGATGAGATCCTATTTTTTTCATAGAATAAGGCTGACAAATGAGCACACAATCTATCGGTAAATGGATGCTGTGGCCCATAGACGTCTTCATTCATCCTCAACCAAGAAATAAAATGCATATATCCCTAGAGGACTGAGATGAAATGCCTCGTTTGCAGTACAAAGAGTCTTCGCTTCTATATACTCACTATGCGGAACACAGCAGCATTAAGCTGCTATTTAACGCTGGTATTGTGTGAGATCGTGATATATATGTAGCTATAGCGTGCCACGTATATATGGATCTAATTCGTGAAAACCGAAACAGATAAAAAAATTATCTGGACCTGGCTCACGAGGTGACCAACATGCCATGGCGAAGCTGGGCCTCAAAACTAAGGTAAGCTCAAGATATGGTTTTGTTGTTTTTAACAGTTTTATAAAAATAAACCAATCTTGATCTGTCTTCACTCTTCAGTTTCATATTCAGTGCTGTCGAGGGCGTGTTTAACAAAGCACACACAAGGCCTACTACTGCTAAACAGAAAAGCATGAACAAAGTACAAACAAAATATGTACAAAATTACAAAAACAAATTATTTGTATTATAAATAGAATCGTCTGTCTTTATTAAAGAAAGATTTGATTACGTCCGCGTAAAATGTTGGTTTTCTCAACAAAGTTTAAAGATTTTAATTTTTCTTTGCCGATTAGCACTTTAACACATTTCATTTCATCTCAAGGAACACTATTATCTTCCATTTCCACTATAAATCTCATCAATCATAAATGTTTAACTCGCAATATTCATTTGCTGAAGTAAACACACATAGTAAACATTGAAATGTGAAGTGAATTTGCAAACGTATAGCCCGCGCGCCCCCGCGCTCGACTAACTTCACAGCGAAAACTCGACTTACCGTATAACATAAACAAAACATAAGCACTCACGCCTGTCACACAGAGGGGTATGCAGAGACTATAGCCTTCCATTTGGCACTATCCTAACACACTCCTCTCGCCTCTTCCACATTCATATACCTACGCATACATGCTCGTCGGTTAAGGGTACTCTTAATTTGGCCCCTTTTCAGTAGGCCGCCAATTTGGTTGACAAATTTTCGCCTAGGGCGTCCCTTACCGACTCTGCAGTTCACTTCAGCAACATAAATTTGCTTTTGCTAATGCTCCAGCGCTGACAAAGAAATTAAAGCGTCCAGCCCTCGCGACTGATTTACCCTTGTACGTCCGATACGCGCGGCCTTAATTCGGCTGCTACCGCGTTTCCATGTTGTATAATAAAACCCACATAGCTACTTAACTATAATAGGTAGAGTAGAGACAAAAACTGCTAAAAATTGACAGGAAGAATGCGAATTAAACCTGTGTACGTTTTTAAACCCAAAAATAATATTTAAGCTATTAAAAATAGTTGTGAACATTGAATTTGGAGAAAAATAAACGTACAAATTTTATTAATTTACACCTCAACGAAGAAATGTTGCATTTTTTACCCATAAAATAAAGTCACAACAAACAAGACGTATTTTACTTTTTAATGATGCATATATGTTAATGTTTAATTAAAGTTATATAATTTTAAATAAATCGAAACAAAACACCTACTCCTCGTAATTTTACCGCGATGCTTCGAGCGTTTTGGACTTGCTCGCGAAGGCAAAATATAAGCAAGATGGCCGCCTATTTAAGGTCTCATAAACACTTTGTAATTTACGCAACTTAAAAAAAGGTAGTTATGAGATTTTTTTAAGTTGGGGTTTTAAATTAAACATCAATAATAAAATAAATGTACAGTTTATTGAAATAATAAAAAGTTATTTTACAAATAATAGTATTTTGTTTAAAACTAAGAATTAATTTAAACTAAATATTTACAAAAAAAGGACTAAATGAAAACTAAAATAAATAATTAAAAAATATAAAATTATATGTCATACAACATAAAACAACCATCAATACATAAGTTTTTGTTACATTCCAGGCATTTCCAAATCATTCCAAATTTTTAGCTGTTCGACCTCGTGCCATTGTATCTTTTGCTGAAAATTTTTGCATGGGTCTAGTATCCATACGTCTGGTCCGGCAGACGTTTTCCTACACTTCCTGGTTTGTGGCACGATGAATTTAATCTATAAGTTATCCGCGTTTCAATCCGCAAATTTTTAGAGTTTTCATATATAATATCGTAACAACACGACCAAAGCGCCACCTAATTGTCCAAGTATTATCATTCAGTTTTAGTACTTTACTGATATAATATATTACGAATGAGATTCATTTCACGACTCCGTGGCTCAGTGGCTTAGCAATTAGTCGACGCGCTGAGGGCAATGGATTTGAATCCCGCACGGAACAAATTATTGTGTAACCTACAAATAATAGTTCCGGGCCTGGATGTTTGTTGTTGTTAAATTTATATGTAAATTAACTCACGATACAGGAGAAAATCCTAACGTAGTAGTAAATTTTACTATTGGATCCTTCCGATTCCATCGGAATCGGTTAAGTCCTTCAGAAGTTACCCGATCATTAACACGTGCAACAACGAGTATATCCATACATATAAATAAAAGTTTTGTGTCCATCTGTAAAAAATAACTAGTGCCTTATATTGAGCTGATATTTATTATGTGTATGCCATTAGGACATGAAAAAAATTATTTTTAAACTTTTTGTTTGTGTGTCTGTCTGTGTTCGTTCAGAATCGAATGAAATAGTGTTCAATGGAAAATATACTGTATTTTATATCAATTAATGACGAAAATAGCAGACCGTAATGCGGACATACATACATGTCCTCTGTACTCAGCGGTCACAAAACGTGGACAGTCTCACATGTCCTCGGTACATAAGTGGTCCGAATTCATGAGGAATAGTATTGACTATTTAATATTAGGCTACACCTCTCAGCTAGCCTTAAATATTGATTTTTGTTAAGAAAGTCAGAAAAAAAGCGCTCCCGAAATGATACATCCGCGTGCCCTAGCTTTTTTTGCGTAATGGCTTGTGATGTACATATGTAAGTATGTACAATTTTCTACAAAAATATAGATTTATACTCCATCTTAAAATGTCCAGGATAAGGTACAGGAAGTAATAGGTATATCTATTTCTTGTACATAAGTATTATAATTAAAATGTGATTTTTAAGCATTATTATTAGGCATGGCATATTAATCCTTACGAATGAAAGTTTCTTCGTCTTCAAAACAATTTTATGAGAATAAACTTTCCTGCTTATAGCATGTTAATGAAGAACTAAAATAATTAAACACTCGTCTCAGCAGATGAGAACGCTTTTTTATGAGCGAGATGAATTCAATCATTTTAGCTAAAGATTTGGCAAAGTGAATGGGGTAATTTTATATCTGCATATGAATGTTATAGAGAAAATTTACATTTTATCCACTCAACCTCCAGTTCCCGGGTGAGCGTCATCCCCCCGCGCTCTAAAAATTGTCTCAAATCGCGGTATCTTCCAGTTTTAAAGAAATCAGTGCTCAAAAAGTGAATAAACCTCTTATAGGTGATCTCGCCGGCCAGTTCAATAGTCAACCAAGGCCTATCCACCTGTTATCCAATTGGCTCGTCACTGGAGTATTGGTACATGTTTATGATTCACACGCGGAAACATAAAAAATACGACGACAACGCGATGACACGACACAGCTTATAAAAACCAACTGAAGAGTTGAGAGCGCGGGCAGCTTTACCCTTGAACCGGTGACCCTGCAAAGTGGCAAGGTGAAAGATGGTCGCTAAATTTATTGTTTTATTGCCG